GTATAATACAAACGACGAGGGGGGGAAACGGGGGGCAACGACGACACAGGTGGGGATAGCGCGCGAGGCGGCTACGACGTCAACTCATAACAGTATTCTACGTTTCTGCTCTCCTTGCTGTTGCCCACCAAGAATGTTACCGACATTGGGCTCCCTCGTCGTTCGTGCACGTCAACGAAACGCGATGTTGGAACAAAAGCTTGTTGTTTGCACCCGATGCCGCATTTCGTGTTAGTCAGCAGCTGTACGTACCCGCACTCGCTACATCGTCGAAGGGTACAGCAGAGCTTGTGCCAACAGAACGGACGCTACACGAGAGTGAGTGACCACGCACCGCAGTCAAAAGCGCCTGAAAGTACCACGTACGACACCTGCTATCAAAGACGGGGGGGGAGGACCCATAGTCGTGCATGCCCTAGTCGTCAGACCATTAACCTCGCATCCCTACAAAGCCTGGACGGAGCACGCCGGGTTCTCACCGGACCAGGCTCTCACATCATCAACCACGAAGCGCCGCAAGACGAGTACGAAAAAAAAAAAAAAACACCTATCCACCTTGAAAAGCGGCTGTTCCATCCCCCGGTTACGCTTGATGGGTAAAGTCCTTCCGGCGTCGAAGATGTTCTTGAGGACAGGGTGAGCGTAGTAGATGTCGTCCGTGCACAGCGCCCACCGCATTCTTTTCCTCCCCGTCCTGTTGGTTTTTCGCGCACGCGCAAAACCAAAGCGACAACACGATCGACAAGACACCAGCACCGCAGTGTTAGCGCTTCGTGATTGACCCAGCCGTGCCTGCTGCTGCTGCTGCCGCCGCTGCTGTTGGTGTTTGTGTTGCTGCTGCTGTTGTTGCTGCTGTGTCGGCAAGGTGTCACCTCCACGCCCGCAAGAACTAGGACGCGCCCATCGTCGCTACCAGCCTATATACACTCGGGACATCCCTGGGACCCAATTTTTGTTTTTGACGAACGACGCGCCACATCCTGTGACAACTACCCAAGTCGGAACACGTCGCCACAGCTGGAAGCGCGCACACTGCTGTTGTCCTGTCCGACGCGCACTCCGTTCTTTCTCACCTCCAGAATGGTACGAGAGCCGACCACAGCCCAGGGTCGTCGTACACGCACATGTGATTGCTCACTGTCAGCAGTCCCCTGTCCCCCCGGTCGAGCACGGCATCCAGCAACTCCTGCCTGTTGTGGCACTCCACCTTGGGGGCACCGTGAAAGCGGCGTCAGGCGGCGGCAACGAACACACAGACCAAGCCGGGAAGAGCAGAGGTGGCCACACGACGAGACAGAACAAGACAACGTGTTGGCTGCTGCTGCCCATCGAACCCTGCCCCGCAATCGATGGTGATATTTCCTCTTTGATCGAGGCCCTGCATTGGGTCGGCCCAGTTCAGCGGGTTGTGCAGAGCGAAAACCGACCTCAAACATACCCACGCTTGCTTCCTCTACCCGTCGCTGGAGGCAACCACGGAGTACACGACACGACATTTGGTCCTTCTTCTCGGCAAAACCTAGTCAGCGCTATCTCGTGGGACATGTTGGCACTGCATGGGTTATGGCGCAGATGGTATGTTGGAGACCTACTAGGACAGAAGTCACAGCTTAAGGGGTGCGTGTGTCGGGAGTTCAAACACAAACACAGACAATTTTCGTTCGATTGTATTCCAGCAACCTATCCCAGGATAAGGCGGGTTCTTTGGCGGAGGAGGCGAGGTTTGGTCGAACACACCACGAGCGTCGAGAATGCTGTCACCGCCACCTAAAAATAAATAAATCAAAAGAGCACGCGAGGCACCCCGGCCTACGCTCGTTCGTGAGCCACTTAGGGAAGGGAGGCGATGGTAATCATCTTAGGGGGGGGGAATTTGTAACGTTCATGTGGAAAAGTCGGGGAACCAACAACAAACGGTTCGAAACGTCGCTCGTCAGCAGGACATACCACGCGGTGCCCTGAAGGAGCTGCCATTGTGGGCTAGATTGAGCCGCTACGAGAGAACACGAACGGGTGCTGCTACGGGCTGCTACATACGCACGCACGCGCGAGAGGCAGTCTCAGTCTGAGACTGATTGCACCTTATTGAGTCCCTTGAGCAAGAAGCGGAAGATGATCCACGTGGTCATGATGGTCAAGTACGACAAGGCCTTGGAAGAAGCACGGCGGAAAACACCGCAAAGTGACCTTAGCTTCTGTCTCCCTTTCACCCCTCCTACGCCACCCTCGCCGACGTCCTTCATCTCCCGGTGCTCGTTGGGCGCAGGGATAGAAAACTCATTGCCGCCGCCGCTGCCTTTGTCACTACTGCTACCGTCTTGTTCTTCCGTTGATGCTAGGGGAATGACAATCGCCGCATCCAGCATGCCGAGAGACGTCTCCGCGCGTTGCTGTTGTGGCTCCCCCGCAGGCGACGCCGCCGCCGATGCCCGCAACCGAGTCGCTTCGATTGTCTTGCGATGTCGCTCACGATTTCGGCTACTCGCGGGCGATCCTTTTCCACCGACCCCATGGTACCTGGAATCGAGCATTTTTTCACGAAACCGGATGCTTAATAACGTTTTCACGAGAAACAGAGAAAAGCACAAGCGAAACAGTGCACACCGTTTAGGCAGCCAATCGTACCGGAAAGAAAGAAAAGATGAAAGATGAAACACGCCTGCACGGTAAGCATCCCCATTTTTACACGACGCCAGTCTTCAGACAGCCCTAGTTCCAGCTGGAGCTCATCCATCCAAAAATGAAAAAAAACTTGGAATGCCGGAGGACGAGAAAGTCAAGCAGGTTGTAACTATCCGTGGTCGGCCAACACCCACCGGACCAGGCTCGCCGGCGACAACCCATGGCTCCCAGCTGGAAAGACGATTGATTCAAGCGGAAAGTGCTACATCGTGGGGGAGGGTGGGTCCGCGACGTGTTCTCACACAATCAACCGCGGCATTCTTGGCATCTAATGCCATGGGCCTCCGATGCGTGCAGACCGTGACCGACTATCCCAGGCCAAAGCCGACCAGCGACGCTTCTGACAGAATCCGCTAAACCCAACATCCATGGAATTGGATGGTAGGCACGTGTAGGTGTCATTTCTCTTGAGAAAGGACTGTACGTCTGTATCTCAGAGCGCTCGCCAGAATCATACCAACAACGGTTGCTACATCTTGTAGGTGGTCCACGAAAAGTTCTCCTATTGGTTGACATTAACCTGACTGGCTTCGTGTTGTTTGAGCTTCACAAATTTGGGCTTTCAAAACCTTCGTTCCGCCCGCCCCAGGTGCGAGGCTTGTCATCGATGCAAACCCTCTCTCTCGGCACTAAAGTGGCCTCCAGAGTAAAACGATCCCGAAGGAACTAGCAAGAATGTGTAGTGACATTCTGGTATCGAGAAACGCAGCGTGTTCATGTTACCGTTCCCCACGGGTGAATCGAACCTCAACACTCCCACGCGGTTCTTTAGTTTCAGCCAACCCAGGCCGCCCCACACCTCAGGGGGGCCCGAGAGGGAGCAATTCATGGTTCGTGAACTGCTGTTATCCTCGACAAGGTTGAGTGCGTGCCCCTGTGCAAGCCTTGCCGTTGACACGTGGCAGCAAGGCTTCCTTATCATCTATACACCAGGGATTTCGTTTGAGTAGGCGCACCCGAACCTCGGGTTATCTTCAGCACACCCCAATAAGTCTCTTCCCCAACATGCGTGATTGAATCGCCACTACAGCAGAATGTACTGCCTGTCTTTTGTCGTCGAGCATCTCAAAACACAGCCCCGAGGTGGTACCGGATGTGTGGAGTCTGCCGTGCTTTGAATACAACCGTGCCAGTGAGAGGTGGTGATCGATCCACTATTAATTATTTCGTATATAATGCTCCACGACCAGGAGGGTGTTATCGAAAGTCGGCCGACAACGCGGAAGGAATGCTCTGGGTGAGATCTTTCCTAAGACCACCGTTTTTTGGCGCTGGCAGCTTTTGTCGTTGGCAGCCGCCGTGCCCGGTGCCGATATATCGACCTTCAAAAAAGATGGGAGACCGCACCGTCCAGCCGTTCCCCCAATTCATTACATGTAGAAACTGAGACTTTGCAGATGCTGTTGCCGCTGCTGTAGGTTTATCACCGCAAGTCGATAAACATAAATGCTACTCATACAACAATATGAGATCGCCCGTTGATTGTGCAAACTTTTACGTTCATAACAAATGTTGCATTCATTTTTGATCGGGGCTCCTCCATCACCCTGCGAGACGCTTTCTTCACGTTTCCAACACATCGGCGCTGGGGCGGGCATACATTTATCGGTCATCTACAGTTGAAAAATGGAGCAGGAAACAGCGACCATCTCACTCTCAGCGAAGGGGATAGAACAGACAGGGTGCAAATACATGTATGTTGTAGATGCGAGTTCGCAAGCTGCTCGAAAGAACACCCTACCTTGAAGCCTGCACATGCAACTGGCTCCATCCGGCAGGACGGCAGAGGAAAGCTTTTGTCACGACGATGCTGCAGAACAATAGAAGGGAGACAAGAGATTCTGAAATAACGCTCCTTCCTTTCCATCGAGCCATAGTGAAGCAGTCGGTCAGCTGTCCGTGTGGTACCGCCAGCCGCAATCGATGGCGAGGCAAAGGGGGTCCGTCTCTCACTGAGAATCGTAGGTACACGTTTAGAACCGACATTCCACGATGCCCTGAACGTGCCGAAAAGCAACAAAAAAACCGCGTGGTGGCGTAGCCGCGTAGCCGTTAGCCGAGCAGCCGAGCTATCGCACTTGCCCACACCCTCTGCTCCACAGAAAGAGTACAAACACGCGCGGTGACCAAGAAGGATACAAAAAGGAGAGAAGACAGAGAGGCAAACCCTCGTGCTCCGTGAGAAGAGAGTCTCAAAGCGTTTGCTCCGAGAACGTCGCCGGTATTGGATTTTTTCATTTCCTCATCACATCATCAACGGCGCGCTTCGGGCAGACTCGGCGCTACAACCATGGTTTCAGGAGGGAAGTTCGCAAGGCTAGCAGGGCGATTGCTGGGGCTAGGTACTACAACCCTCGTGGTCGCGGTCGGGGCATCGTCTCCGTCTTGGAACCAGCGGGCGTCAAGCACCACCGCTACTGCATTCCTGCAGAGTAGCCTGACTATTGCTGTGAGGCCACGGAGGTCGCTGCCCTCTACCGCCGCCTCCGAGAGCTGGGTTAGACCAGTGGTTGGGGGTTTGGCACGACGTCCAGTTGGCAGCTCGGTGGATACCAACAACAGAATCAAGCCCCTCGCGATGGCTGTATCGGTGCTGTTGCACGACGAACCGGTGAGAGACAGCAGTGGCTGCTCTTGTGTCCGCATAATAGTAAGAAGTAAACGTGTGCGGGACCGCGCGCGGTTCGTTGAACCGCCCCCTTCGGATCCCAGCTTGTATCGACCTGCGACGGTCAGTCTCTCTCTGGTCTGGTTCGCTCCTAAACAGCTTGATGGTTGCTTCCCCCCCTTTTGGCTCTCCGCGTGCTGACACCCGATCGCCATTCCGCGCTTTCACGCATATCCTCGAGTTTCCCGCCTGTTTATCCTCTGGCTCGTTACAATCAAGTCATGGTCCGCTCTCCGTTCCGGCCATGCTGCTCGTGCACTAAGATCTCTTTCGGAGGAAGGCGGCCGTTCACGAGCCACGCGGCACGGTGGTTCATAAAGCGTCGCATCCTGTCCACGGCGAAGGCCAGCGCGGCCCTGAACGTCGAAGTGGAGGCGAGGAACAACCGAGACGCGATGAGGGGCCGGTGGGAGAGCATTAGCATCGACTTTGCGAAAACGATCTTCGAAGACATCCAGGTGAAATTGCGTTGTATTCTGCCCGCCTGTGACAAAGCAGTGTCGATTTTTGGGTTCGTCGTTAGGCCTGTCCTCCATCGGCCGTTTTGCTTGTATGACGGAGAATAAGAAGGTGGAATTACTTGAAATTAGTATAGAAATAAAGTTTGTGTATCTAAATCGAAAATAAAACGGCCGATGGAGGACAGGCCTATTCGTAGTTGACACATACAGCTGCCAACCAAAATCGCCAAAACTGAAAATAAAAAAATACTCAAAACAGCGCACACCAACACTACCTACTTCTACAAACAGTCGTGCCGAGTATTGCGACAGACACATGTTGGCATTGGTGCTACACAAGCTAGAGTCTTCGCAGGTTCCTTCCGACCGAGCACGTGTGCTTGTCTAAGGAATTGGATCGTCCTCTGTACATGCTCCGCATTGGTAGAAATCTGCAACCGGCGACTAATGTGGTTGCGTCTCGAGGCTCACAAAAAAAATCAGGTCCTGTGTTTCGTATTGCCTTCGGTTACCTACCCTCTGAAGTGGGCACATGAGAGAACAGCAGTGTCATCAAGGGGGTGATGTCTACAAGATAAGAATGAAAACTAGAAAAATCTGGCTGCCCGCTTGGACGTCGTCGAAGCTCGAGCAGCCCACACAGCTGACGTGTTCATCATCGAAGAGCCCAGCAAACCAACAGGGAACAAAATAAATCTTTACTCAACAATAGTAATATCCTACTTCATGGTGACAAAATCATCCACCTCCCTCTCCAAAACTTCGAAGTATCTATCTTTGTGGGCAGTCGGCCTGCCTCGCGAACTTCTCCAAATCCTCTTTTCGCCTTCCGAGAAAGTAGCTGTCCTGGAAATGTCTTCAGATTACGTATCGGCTCGCCGCAGTTCGAGGATTGCTCCCTTTTTCAGCGGAGCAAGGTTCGCGATTTTCTCGCAAGAGATCCACCAGGGACCAGCTGTTGCGTGAGCTGAGTTGTTTTGCCCAAGTATTTCTTCGTCACGACTTTCAGGGCTGCAAACCAAAGCAGTGCAGTGATTTTATCTCGTGGCGGTGCTGCTGTGTGCCTCCAATTTGACTTATGCATCTGTAGCTTGCCCGATGCGAATTGTGTTCGGATACCGTGCTGTTCATATCCGAGCAATACAGCAATGATGTAACTCGCGTAACAGCAGCAGTGTGGCGGGAAAAATGTGGGTCCGGCTGTCATGGTTTTCGCCAACTTTTACGGGAGGTGGCTGGAAAGCACGAATCCCTCTCGGCCGAAAATGCCCTCTCGTTCCATTCCGCAGTAGACATCTCGGGTGCGTTCATCCGCATTTCACGCATCACGCGCGCGTCTCCACATGGGAGAGGAACCGACGCGAGGGCGGAGGCGACCACAATAGATCGCTCGGCGGGTTGCATGCGGCGGCGGATTCTGCAGCTGATTTGTAGCGATAGAGATCTTTTTTTTTTCTGGACTTGTTGACCGTAAGGACCGTGTGCTCGGATGAGAACTCTACACGCCTACAAACCAAATCAATATATAGCCGCCGTTGAGGCACCCCCCCACTCACAGGAACATTTTATAGACACACTCCGAGCTTTATTGAAGATAGTGGTATATTCACAGAATTACTAACCCGTTCAGGTTAATACCACAACAGTCGAAAGGCATGATGTGTTGAAAGTCTTTTTGTGTGGAAGAGACTCCGGCTGGAACCCTTGTGAGACCGTTCTACTGTGCTGTACTTGCTGTAAATGCCCCAGGTGAGCGGAGGCGCGTTCGAGCTCCTCGGCGTCGACGTCCTCACGCTCGGGCTGCTGCCGGGCCCGTGGCGGCGCCTCCGTCGCCTCCGCCGGCCTTGCGAGGCCATCGGCCGGTCGACCTTCACCGACGTGGACGTGGCCTACTCCCCCGCGATCCGCCGCCTCGCCCAGCGGGTCGTCAATCACGCGCTCCAACCGCGCGCGAAGAGAGCGGGCGTCGTCGCCGGTGCCGCTGCCGGAGGCGGAGGAGCGGCGGCGGCAGGCTCGCTACCGGCCGCGACGACTGGTGGCGCCGTCTCCGACGGCGGCGAGCCGGCCGCGGGGTCCGCGCAGCAGCAGGGCCGGCTGGAGCCGTCGGTGAGCGTCTTGGGGGTGCGGGTCCACGGAAACAAGCTCGCCATCGAGGGGGAGATGACCAACGGGGGGACATTCTTGCGGGTACCCTTCCGGTACCATTTTTCTCTTAGCGCTTCCCAGGACGGGCACGTGCTGTACTTCAAGGGCTCCAGCGTGTACTGGGGCACGCCGGGGGGACACGTGCCCCTGCCCATGATGCCGCTGCAATCGTTCAAGATCGACTTGGGTGACAGGTGCGTGCGTGTTTTTTAGTTTGCATCGATCGCGCTTCACCGTCTGACCGACGAAAATACGCCAGTCCTGTGTAGCGGGATTACTAACAAGAACACTTTCTGCGTGTGTGTGTTTTTTTTTTATTTTATTGGCATGTACCGTGTGTGTTTCTGTGTTTCTGTGGTTAGAGGATCGACCGCGCTAAACGGCTGATCAACGAATAGGAGCGTTCTGTCTGTGTGAGTTTGTAGCTGTGTAGACTATCCCATTCTAGATGATACGTGTGGATGTTTTCGTGCCCTTTGACTCGGCACGATGTGTCTGCTAGACGTGTGAACATTGCGCATCCACCCCACGAGCCATTGTTTAATTGAGTCGAGATGTCAACATTAATGTGCTTCGAGGGGTGCATGGGTGTTTGGATGACCTTCATCGAATGCGCCAACCGAGTGACTCTCGCGAAAATTGAGATCACGAGCCTCTGCGGCCAACCTCCAAGTTGAGAGTGTTCTGCGCAAGAACAAAACCGACCACCAAACGATTTTCCCGCGCGATTGGTGCTCTTCAACTACCGTGAGGTTGGGAGTCAGCGCATAGGGGTGCGAGCTATAATCATAAGCATCATTTGTCCACAAGCAGGAGGTTACCACTGTCGGAAAGGGCGGTTTTGGAAATGTATCTCATCGAGAGCTTTCCTGAGAAGTATCGGTTGGCGTTCGCACCCTCCTGGTTGTGGAGAAATTACGCTTTGAAGATCGATCGCAGGGTATACAGGTACCACTCTCTGCTCGGAATATGGGGACCATTGGTGGCAATCATTCGCGTTTGTGTATCCGGATGAGCCTTTTATTTTCGAGCGGACGTGAGTGGTAGTTGACACAGAACCAGTGAACCCGAGCAGGCAGGGAAGCGTCTACTTTCCGTCTCGTGTCCTCCTCGGTCACAACCGGACCTCCCTCGTGCCCCCGCCGCCTTCTCAATCTGCTCCGTCCGCTGCCCTGTTTCCTGCTGTGCGTCCACACGCTTCTGGTGCGGTCGTGGTGTACTGTACACTAATAACGAAGGGCGAGAATCGAGCACCTGAGGATCTCTCGTGGCGTGCTCTCCGTGGGGGGAAGGTTCATCCTCACGAACACCCCTGGTTTCACGGTAGCCCTCCCGGGCTTGAAGAGGGGCGACATCAACTACGACCTGGCTGAGGGCTTGAGTCGGCTCGTCAGCAACTGCTTGAATTTGCGGAGGGAGTGATGCGGTGGCTGTGGTGTCGTCACATGGTGACCGCTTGAACCTTCTTGTCCTTGTGATCGCCGAACGAAGCGCTCACCTCAGGGCGTGTGAGAGTAGATAACCGAGGAAAGAGACTTATGGCGGTATTTGGGTCGTACCTCCCGAGTTGGTCGGCTGACGTGGGTTGACCGGTGCGAGTGGTATGGGGCGGGAAGCATGAGGGTGCACAAAAAGAGTCATACCAGTGTGTCTGTTTGCTGGTGATGTTTTCTTGTGAGTGTGGTCGTTGTTGTCCTTGCAGCGCTGTAAAGTCGGGTGCCTTCGGCAGCTGAAATGCTTTGTGCGTTATTGAAGAAAAAAAATGTTGTTCCAAAGTTCACGGGAAGGGAGGGAGTACATTCTGCATCACATTCTTTATCGAGGAGGTCGTGCTCCGCATATCGGAGGGGGGCACAAGAACGAACGCATCGGAAGGGCATCGGCAGACATCCCCGTTTGAAGGCGGCCGTGTTTGGAGCGGAGTTGGAGTTCGGGAGGGAGGGGGCGGAGGGCGCACGATTTTCGACGCCTCTCCTGGGCGAATCTATTTCCCACTAGAGCTTTCAGCTGTAGTTGTATGCGGCGCTGGGCATTCAGGATGTAATGGTGGAAAGGCTCCGTGCACGACGACCATGAACGAACGTTGCTGGTGTGGTAATCACCGTATCCTAAATTGGTTGTTATTCCGTGATGGCGGAACGGCAGAAGGAGTGTATTGGACGCATGAGTTGTCGCCGACAATATTACGCAGTTCTTTAGTTGGTTAAATTTCTTTAGTTGTATGTTCTGGCCCGAAATCGTACACAAGGAACAGAGCCTGCTAGATGGCCTGTGACTTGCAGTGGCCGTGGACGTACATTACAGCGATGGTGGGGGAGGGGGAGGGGCAGGGCGTAACGCACGCCGTGAGAGACTCCCCGCTTATTTTCTTCCTCCTCCTCTTGATGTTGTTGTTTGCTGAGTTCTTATCGGCGCGGTGTTTGTGTGTGTACGATATGCATATAATTGCCTGGTTGTGTTTGTGAGGTGCACGTGCACCACGTCAGCGGTCAAGCCTGAGAACCGCTTGTATTTGACCGTCGTAGGCGTGTTGCCGTGCATGGTTTTTGGTCTATTGTTTTTCTGCTTTTGTTGTTTTTGTTGAAATTTTTCGGACTGCATGTTACCAAGTTATTCGCTTTGTGAGTTAAGGACGCTTGTTGTTTTAATTTTGTCGCGGGTTGGGTTTGGACCCGTGAGTTGATTGTTTGTTTCTGTCGTGCTCTTGGTGCCATTTGTTTTTGCCGTGAACGTGGTGAAGCAGTAGCGCCGTTTGAAGCGGACTGCTGGTGTGGTAGTTGAGACTTTGCATTTTGACTTGAAACAGGAAAGGGCGACAAAACATTTCTGAGGTTTACCGCCGTGATATCTTGTACCGTTACACACGCAGTTGTAGTCTAGAAAGTTGCTGCACCGCCGTAAGGGGACTAGAAAAAAGCTGATATTGTACTGGGCTACAAAACAAAAAAACAACACAAAAAATATAAAACGTTATTTTTGGGCAAGCTCGAGGAGGAGAGGTCCCGTCGTGCTTTTACACTGTGGTCGCCCGGAGGTGTTCAACGTGCGGCTTGTGAAGGCCTTCCGATGGCATTGTCTTTGTCCCCTTGCCGCACACGCTTGGGTGGCCGCTTCTGCCGGAAGGGGCAAGCGCGTCGCTCTACCCCGTGTGCGCCCTCTAAACAAAGCCACGTTGTTGGTGTGGTCAGGTGGATAGTTCTACAAGTACGTCTTCGAGAATATACTTCACGACAAACAACACAAGCAGCGGCAGAGCGGGACCTACCCGCACATGGTCGTGCTTGAAAAGGTCGTCGTGCGTGGCGTTGCCAAGAAAAAAACAATCTACACACACGCCTGAAGGCATCGGTTCCTCAATCTAACCTCGGCACGTGGTGAGCAAAACGCCTTGGTTTTGGAATAGGTAATAAATCTGCGCACACGCTGTCTACGTCGAACCTCCATCAGGTGGCTAAAAAGCGCCTCTGTTTTGGTAAAAAATCATACATCTGGACGCACGCCGCACATGTCGACTCCTCAATCGAGATTCGGCACGTGAGTCAAAAACGCCTCTGTCTTGGTATAGATATCGTCCCTCTGCGTTATCCCTTTCGGTAGGCCGGCAACTGGCGGCGGTGCCGATATGCGTTCCTGGAAGTCGATGAAATACGGATGGGGGCGCGTGGACGTTTGAGTGCGTTTCGTGCCCCGGTACATTGAATCTACTGTAGAAACCAAAACGGCACGCTGCGCTTGCACGCAGGCCTGAGGGCAACTGACACCTCTGCATCTGCAACAAAGCGTACAGGATGTTAAGAGAGCGCTTTCTTGCTTCGCTCGCCAGCAGCTGAATGGGATTGTTTGTAAGCGAGAGTGCGGGAGCTAAGCGGCTTACAAATTTGATCCGAACTCCAAAACGGCTTGCGTTCTTCACAAGTTTCCTGGGCAGGTACAGCTTGTTCGCGAAACTGGAGATCATGGCGATTTTAACTGCACGAATGTGTTGAATAGCAGGTCCCCTGTCTCACTCCCAATATTTTTTTCTTCTCTGACGATCTGGATGGAAAAGGCCTTTCGGTCATTCCACCCCCTCCCCTACAGGTCAACGTGTTGGCACGTTGACCACATTATCAGCACTTTCCTCCCTGCTAGATGTAAACTTTGGCACCTTTTTGCTTGGCCACCGAGGCCCGTTTCTCTCACCATGGCCAAGTCCTGCTGCCTCTTTCTGGCGAGCTTGGACGTGAGGGTGGCTTTCTCCGTCTCATCGGCCGTCTCCATCCGCTCCGCCAGCTTCTTCTTCCGCTCGTCGCTCTCGATCTTGCGGAGCGTTTCCGTGTGCTGCCGGCTGCTGCACAGCTTGAGGAACGTTCGGCTGGGCACGATGTCCTCCATCGCCTGCTCATCGTCGCTCTCCAGGCCGGCGTCCACGCCCATCCCGCCGCCCTCCCCACTCCCACCCGCTCCCCCACGGCCACCAAGACCTGGACTGGTCCATCTGGCACCGTCGTTGTCGTCGCTGTTCTCGAGTAACCGCTCCGCGCGCACGCGGTGGGCAATGCTTCGCACCCGGATGTTGTTGCGCATGGACGGCACCTCTTCGGTGCTGGCGCAGGTGCTATCCGGGCCGTTTCCTGCGGATCCCATGTCGCTGCTGTCCTCGGCGTCTCCCTGCCCGTTCCCTCCGGCGCTCACGCCGGCGGCGCCGCTGCCCCCGCCCCCCCCCGCGCTCGTGAAACGGGCGGTGCTCGCGTCGTGGGTGCCCGAGACCACCTCCAGCATGATGCTGAGTAGGGTCTCGCTGAGCCCGAGGGCCTTGACGGTATCCCGCTGCACCTCGGCGTCGGTCTGCTCCTTCATCCGCTGCAGCTGGGCGCTGTCGACCGCGTCGAGGAGGAAGGAGTAGGGCTGGAGCCTCTGCCACAGGCTCACCGCGCCCTGCTTGACACCCGTCAGGGTGTTCTGCAGGCGCTCGTGGGCCGCCTTCTTCATCTTTGCCTGGGGTGGTTGAGGAGGTTGGGCCCGGGCGCGCGAGAGAAGGGGGAGATCTGTATCGCAGCTAAGCTCAGGCATTGCTACGCCTGGGTATGGGCGGCGGCAGAGAGAGACGCGCGTTTACAGCTAAGGGGTTTGTATGGGTGGTGGGATAGAACAACAAGGCTGACGAGGTTCATGGTCTGGTGTCGTAACACACCTCGGTAAACTTGGATGCACCCGATCAGTATTCCTCGAATGCACCAAGGCGACGCAACACACACAAACGAACGAGTGTCTGTTTTTCTCAGGGATTTCTACGCCCATGGTGTCCGCTTGTGTACAAATCAAACAGTTACTTCGTGAATACCAGCACGGAACCGACCAGACATCATAAACCCTCAAGACTTGCAAGTATGAAGAAAACGAGAGAGCGGTCAAATTTTAGTATACAACAGGGGAGTGGGGTGTCGCAGAGACTATGTCTTCTACCGGGGCTTGTTGATCATGTCGGTTTTAGGAATTTTCACTTATCCTTTCACCGTCGTGACGTTTAATTGTCGCTGTTTGTTTCTGTCGGTACCGGTGGGCTATTCCCCGTTGTTGGGATAGCCGGGTACAACGCCACAGCAACAGCAAAGGTCATACCTCCACTCTGTATTCCTTTATGTCGTTGTTGAGCTTGTCGCTGATGTCCCGGTTCAGCTCGGTGTTCCCCACACCGCTGGCCTTCATGTACGAGAACCGGGTGTCCTCGCTCTGCCTCGCCTCCTTCGCCCTCGCGAGCTTGCTCTCGGCTTCCCGCTTTTCTTCCTCCAGGGTAGCGTGGTTCGTGCTCTGGTTGGCCAGCTTCAGGACCATCTCCTCCAAGGTGTTTACCCCCGTTGCCTGGCGAATGCGCGCAAAGGTTGACTCCATCGCGGCCACCTGCCGTTGTTGGGTCTCGTTCTGCGCCCTTATCTTGTTCATGGAGGCCTCCTGTGGGCAAGGGAAAGGTGAGGGCACATTGATTGAGTGCCGCTGCCTACCTTTTTTCCTGGACGGGCTGGGCGGAAAAAGATACCGCTGATACAGGTGGACGAAACACGGTGACGTCAACATCGTTGTGCCATGTCTTTAATTTTTGATACGTCGTCGGGCGGAACCGCACGCATCTAGCAATGGTGGCGGTCTGCGAAGCTTCCAGTGCACACGGGGTAGTGCAACTGCAAGAGCAAGGGCAGGGCAAGGTCCAACCACTTTCTTCTCGATCCGGAACACCGAGCAGAAGCCTGCGTAAAGTATCTAACACGAGTAGGCCAACAAATAACAAACGACGACGTTACAACAATGATGGTCCTTGGCCTATTAGCTACACTTAGACGGCAACAAACACTTTTACCCCACGCTGCTGTGTCTCGCGTGCTTCTCCGACGCAGGCGCACCTCTGGAGACTCATCTCCGTCCACTGACCTTTTGCGCAAGGACTTCGATCAGTCCGGCCTCCTGGTAGCTAGTGAGATCTCCGCGCAGTGTCTGCGCCATTCGCACCCGTGTGAGCTCGCGCTTCGCGTCGCAAGCATTCGGGGCAACACCCGTTCGAGAAACGAAAGCAGAATATCTGCGTTAAGGTTCTTCTGATGGCGCCAAACCTTTCCTGATCGATGTGCCAATTCGCAACAAAAGGCTCAGGATTACAGCTACAATAACTGCGTCACGAGCACCTTGCATGTGTGCTTTATCTACAGAGTCAGGTGAAGGAACGGGCCTACTGCGGCTGTACCATGCATTCTAGCTTGGTCATGCGTAAGGTTCCCAATGCACCATGGACCTTAACTTTAACCAAGGCGTGTTTACCAGCCGAAACGTTCGACAGCACAACCCTTACAGCCTCCCTGCTGGCTGGCTCCAAACCACAACCAACCGCCCCCTCAACCTAGCGCTGCTATTTCGGAAGCATCCACCGCACCTGGGTAGACTCGGCAATTCAAGTGTGAATGCATTTTACTCGTCGCATGTTGCAAAGCCGTTGAGCATCACCTGCTGCCTACATATTTCCATACTCCGCGCATTTTCCGCTTCTCGTTCCTTATTGGCCATCAGCCGGCTCCTTTCTCGTCTCTCCCTCGCAACGAATCTTTGAACCTCCTGTTCAGACAGAAATGACACGGGTTTCGCAGAGGAAAACAAGTAGACGAGTGTTTAACTGCGCACTTCTCGGTCGGCACCACTACCACCTGTAGGTAAAGTGTGTTGTCTGCGATTGGTTTACACGTAGGAGACTCCAATATAGCCTAGCCATATCTCTGTAACACGAAGCAATCGGTACTTAACAATAGTGTGGTGGCGATGGAGACGTTCTTTGCATGATATTCCTTCAGCAATACACTTGTTGATACCCTCTCCCCCCCCCCGCCCGCCCGAGGTCTAC